CACATTTGCAAAGTGGGGAATAACCGTTTTTAGCCAGTTATTGCTTTAATAGCAACATTGGAATATATTCTAGTTCACTGATTATTATTTCCTTCTCTCTTCCACATTCCCTATTTCCCTTTACCCCACAGTCCTCTTCTTCCCAGGAGTTATTGCACCAGTTGCCCTTCCAGCCCACGCAAGATGATCTCCACTTCCTGTTCAAACATTTCCGGAGCACGGAGAGTGTGGCAGACGAAGAAGGAGCGCAGGCCTCGCCCCCTGTCAGGCTCCGTTCACGCAGTCTCAGGTAGCCTGGATTTGAATCATTAAAGAACTTTACTGCAGAGAAGAATGGACCACACACACATTGGTGTAGCACTCCACTGTGAGAAGTGTTAATCTAATCAGATTAGAGCCACACCTCTCTTGTTTTACGTTGTGTGTTAATCATAAAATAATTGAGGGAGGATAATGTCAGGAGGCACTGTTTACCACTTCTAATACACTCAAACATATAAGAAACACAAAATGCAAAGCTTCAACTTGTAGTGTAGTGTATCTAGTTTGGCTAAAATGCAGTGTTGTTTTAGCTGGGTTGGTTAGCTAGTTAGCCAAGCCTTCTGGTTTGAATAACTAATTGAAGCCTATTATGAAATAGCTTACTCAATACATGAATGCCCTCAGTGTGAATGAAAGAGAAGAAAATAAGTCATGCCTGCCATTTGTATTTTTAATTATTGAACCAAAGTTACTTCTCTTCAATTGTTAGCTTTCTGTTAGCTATTGAGCTTTAGTGACAGCCTCCTGTATGTTTTCCTTATATTACACAGCTGCTTACTCAAACATGGATTTGAGATCGTTGTATGAGAGGGAAACTGTTAGCAGTGCTGCAGACACTGAATAGCCTGCAGTTAGCAACAGTACTGTAAACACAAATGCAAACACAAAAAGCTGCTCAACCTCAAACCAACAAAAGTAGGTTTAATGTTCCTCAAAGTCTTACATTTAGAAATAATGAAGTAGTTGCTGGGAGGATTTGAACAAAGGGCGATAATTATTGTATGTGGTTCTGGGAATAAAGTTGTACCATTTTTATACTGAGTCCCAGGATTAGAATATAGCATTTTATAAACATTTAGCATGTAACATTTATCACATTAAACACTTAATACAAACCCTATGAACTGCACTTGTGGTGGGGAGTTTCGAGGTTGCTGGAGGCTTTTTTATAATGGGCTGTTGAGGGTGTTGGCAACATCTTGATGTGGTTGTTTCTTTTCACTAATGTGTCATTGCCCGGGCCACATATACATATATATATATGGATGTATACTGCAAATCTATATATATATATGGCAGAGAATGTTCTAGATGTTAACTGCTCTACATATGCAGAAGCAGTGGCTCTGTACTCAAAGGGGAAGAGGTCACAGTGAAGGCTTTTATAAATAAAGGTTGATATCATATATGGATCTTTAACTCTAAGGTCTAAGTTGATGAGATAATGTGAAATGGTCCAATATAAAGTTTACAAAAAACATTTACAGGCATCCAGGCTTGTTAACTGTGTTCGTGGTTGGCTGATCCTAAAGTCTTAAAATGCTCTAATTGTAAAATCTCAACATAATTGGTAACATCTATTTAATAAAAAAAGAACTTACCGCATGCATTTCACTATAATGTCATGCAGATTCGCATTAACGCTTAACAGTTCAATACGAGATTCAAACCCTCTAAAAGTTTCATTTGACTTTTCAAATGCTATTAAAAACGCACTGGATTTACTGCGTGCATTAAATGTGGAATACGATGACTGACAGGTGTCCATGTTTCTCTAAAATAGCTCCAGAGGGTGTGCAACGCGTTTCTTACTGCCTTCAAATGGTTCCCAAGGGGTTAACTATTGCCCTCTAATAAATCCCCTGCTGTGCAACTCCAACTGTTTTAGTTGCACCAAAATAGTAACTGCATGTCACTTGTTGATATTGTTATGTGTAGTATGTGATGCATAGGGCACCAAGCGTTGCTATTCTTAACATTTGTGGTGACAGCTCTCTGATTTGTAATGTGTACGGACGGCTTTAAAGGTGCCCCGCTCGTAACTGAAGCCCTGTGCACACAACAGATGTGGTCATGGATACTGCAGATGAGAACCTGATCTGAATCACATTAGTGTTTTATTCAAAACACGCTGGGTTTATGGCCCGGCATGGCAGTAAACGCTTTCAGTCCAACATGTGCGCTTTAGTCTTAAGAAACTTTTGTTTAGCTTAAATAAGATTGATAGTTGTGTTTTTTTACAGCTTTAATATGTGTTTGGTATTCAACCATTGCAGGTACTACACTTTATACATATTTCTGACATACTTCTAAAAAGAAGGCATTTATTGGTATTCAAATGTTTTTAATCAAGTCAGAGAAATGCTAATAAATAAGAATTAGAACTTTATATGCAAATAAATGTAAAATAAATTGGCTAGTTAAACAATATCTTCCTGCATGGCTGAAACGGAAACCTGGCAATGTATACAGCAAAGCATATGTTGTGAAGGATACATTTCAAACAGCATGGTAATTAATTACAATTTCTTCTTCAGCTGTGGTTATTGTACATTTAACATTTATTTCCAAAAGTCATTTATTAAATGTGCAAATCTAACTTATTAAACCGTAGGAGCCAAATATGATTCAGATGTAGAATCCATTTATTATTGGCTGTATCTCTGATCTATTTTTCTGTTTCTCATCCAGCCCTGGAAGGACCTGTGGAACATTTGACAATGAAATCGTCATGATGAATCACGTCTACAAAGAACGTTTCCCTAAGGTATAGTCGTTTCTTTTCACCACTTTATCTTTTATTTCTTTTTCACTCTGAGCTGTAATGGTTAAACATCTTCAGTTTGCAAGTGCATTTCCATGCAAAAAGATGATATACCACTAACCACTTTTTTACACAAAATAAAAATCTCGACTCTTCAAACTAAAGTAAATTGTTGTGAAGAAGCTGTCACTGTTTTAAAGGAAGTCTTCCATCTTTCTTGTCTCCCAGGCAACAGCCCAGATGGAGGGTCGGCTGCTCGACATCATCGCTGAGGTCTCCCTGGACACCGCTCTGCCTCTGGCTGACGGGGTGCTGGGATTCATTCAGCACCAACTGGTGGAGCTCGCCAGAGACTGTCTGGATAAGTCCCAGAATGGCCTGGTCACCTCCAGGTACTTTGTGGAGCTGCAGGAGAAACTGGAGAAGCTGCTGCACGAGGTGAGTGTCTCTTATTATCCAGCCACTCTAGGTTCTTTCTTAGAAATCCTCAGTGGATTTCTGATTGTTGGTAGCTCAGATTGCCCTCTGGGACGTTGCATGCTGTACTTTAGTAGCTTCACTGGGAACATTGAATGGAAATTGCTTATATAGTACATCCACAATAGAGTGGTTACAGCACATGCCATATTACCGCAACATCCAGTTGTTGCATGACATACCCGTGTCTTTACCCATGTCCAGTGTCTGTCTCTGCACTGTCAAGTAAAAGCAAAAAGTCCTCACTAAAACTATTAAAACAAATAAAATAAGAAATGGCCTCCATGATTGGTTCTCATATGTTGCTATTTCCAGTTCATTGGCCAGTAATTGTGTTGTCATTTTGTGTCATTACTTGAATATGTGCAGTTGTCAAGTGTTTGATTATGCAATGATTTATAACATAACCTTTCCAGCAACAATTTGACTGCAGTACATGCCGCCTCTTTTGCGAAACAGATTAGAGCTTCTGCTGCAGACTCCAATGACTTTCTCTCTTTAAACAGAACGTTTCAAAGTTAACATCCAGCTATTCTTTAGCCACAGTCAGTACAAAGTGGATGCAGTGCTTTCTTGTGTTCCTTCAGTCTCTACGTAGTTGATTGTATTATTTTAGTTGATCCTACTGTACAACAGGGTGCACGTTATTCTGCCTATAATTTCCACTAAAGCCACATTTCTGTAATTATTCTTCCATCTTGCCAATAAAATGATTTTCCGTCTTAGTAAGAGTTTATTTTAAGCGACTGTTCCCTGCTGTCACATGTTAAAGTGCTTGAGTTTGTCCCTTTGCACGCCACCTATTCTCTGGAATAAGAATTGCTGTTTTATAATGCTTTTCTTCTTTCCAACTTTTGGAAGACGATATCTTTGAAAACAAATCTTGTAACAGGTGTGACGGGTTGAGGCCCAGATGATCAGGTTAAACTCTGACTTAAATCCCTCTTAAAACCTCCCCTGAAACCTCTGTTTGACCAAGGCAAAGCAATGTTAGCGTAAGATATGGAGACAATGAAGGCTAATAATAGGTTTCACAACTGTTTTCTCATATTTATAAATCTGGCAAGGCAGCAAACAGAAATGAGTATTGTTGCAAGATGTCAAAACACCAGCCTAGATCTATTGAATCACCGAGATGAAATGGATGCTAAAAATAATATGAGCCAGAGCGAAGACAGCTTCTGTGGGTGGGACTGTCTGCCTTATGCCTCGTGCCAATTGCATTAACTCAAAAATAATAATCCATCATCCTTTGTCTTTTCCCGGTCAGGCGTATGAGCGTTCAGAGAGCGAGGAGGTGGCCATCATCACCAAACTGGTGAAGACGATTCTCATCATCATCTCCAGGCCGGCCAGGCTGCTGGAGTGTCTGGTAAGTCTCGCTGTCAAACAGTAGTGATCAGGAGGGACACAATATCAACGTGATGTCTACCAGCTGACAGTCTAGAGCTAAATATATGTCCCTTTTTAAATGCAGTCCTCACAGGTGACTCGTATACATTGATGACATGGTGTTATAATGATAGTCGTCGCCGTAATAATAACAACACAGTTTCATGTTGGAGTTAGGAAGCAGAAAGCCTACCTTGTCAGACTTGATTGTAGTCCTTTTATTTTCCATTCAATATTGACAGTGGGTTTTTATGAGAATTCAAGTTCACAAGAAAAACACAGTACTGGTTTGACCTTTTCAGCCTCTTACTTATCAACTCGAGCAATGGTGTTTCCTGATTTTTCTCCTGTTGTGTTGTTAGTAGTGTTAATTTCGTCAGCTATTTTTTTATTTAGTTTTAGTCTTAGTCCTGTGTTAAATTTCCTTTTCAGTTTTAGTCATATTTAGTCACCTTCATCCTGTTTTTATTTAGTCAAGTTTTAGTCGACTAAAAGTCTGAGCATTTTAGTCTTATTTTAGTCAAAGAAAACGAATTATTTTAGTCTACTTTTTGTCAATGAAAACTGTTGAGTCTTTTTTAGTCATCAGATTATATAGAACATTTCAGTCAAACTAGTCTAGCCAAAACCAATAATTTGTCATTTTAGTCAAATTTATTTCACTAAGATTATAGGCTATCTTGTCCTTATTTGATGAAAAACACAGGTTGATTAAGAATGCAGCTTTGCAGAGAGTATCAGGTCAGGTTGTGGTGTTTTTACCAGCTGTGTTATGGCCACATTGCTTCCCTTCTGATAAAACAATGCATTCGCTTTTTTCCTCCGCCTCATGGTAGTGAACATGGGCTCAAATATCACATCGTTTCTTTCTCCCAAGCAGTGGTGGCTTTATACTTTTTCATTGTCAGTCATTTTGACGGACAGGATTGTAACATTTCCGTCATAATCCATTATTACCCGTCGAGTGCACAATTTATCACTCACTCGTGCTGACGGGGGGGTATTCGGTTAACGCGAGTGCAACCAGTGCTCCCAAGCCCTGTTGTTGCCATTTTATTTTCTGTTAAATAAGGTTAGTTAGACCATGAGTTAGACCAGAGTCTTCCTGACAGTTCACAGTGTACCGCTGGCCGGTGTAATTCAAATGTAGCGCCGCGTGCAGCACAGACACAAAGCTACTGCCCAGCCGCAGCACCGGAAATGGAACTGCTGGGAGAAAAACTGACCATCAGAGATGCAGGGGCGCCGTAAGGGGGTGAAAGGTTAGGACGATTCTAAGGGCCCGTGACTAGCAGGGGGCCCCAAAATGTTTAAAACATTAAGAAAAAAAATGTAAGTACCATTTCATCAATAATTAACATTAATATAACGTTATATTGCGTAGTAGGCTACTCACTAAACTTACGATTCATTTAACTTATTTTCTTCCAAAGGTTAATTATCCAAAGCCTCTGGACACCCCCCTCTATTTACATGTAATGGTTTGGTCCTGCGACTCCTGCCTCCAAACGCGGAAACGGCACTTTCTAGCAGAGTGAAAGCATGTGAGGAGGGATGCTAGTAGCCTACGTAGTGTACGTGTGTTGTAGTCTATGGTTGTAACCTATGGTTGTAACATGTCTCAACGACTCACAAAGTCAGGCTCTAAGAAAAGAACAGAAAGGAGAGAAAGACAGGAGAGAGGGAAGAAAGGGCGACAGTATGTAACCCAGTTTTTCACAAGAAAAGGTGGGTGTGGTCCATTAGCTAAGCGTAGTCCATTGTAAATTGTAATGTTTTTTTTACTAAGCTGACATTAAGTAGGCTACTGTTAATATCTTCACAGAAAATTCAGAGGTTTTTCATGTCACTGCTCTTTTAGCTGACATTAAATGCAGACACATGTTTATCAGCTATTCATATTAAATCAGTTGTCCCTGCCCCTGGTGCCAGGACCAACAGATCCATCTTCAGGCTCAGCAGCCCTGTCCCCCCATAAGGCTGAACCTGAACCAGCTTTTCTCCCAACGGAAGGAGGTGAGCAGCATTGAGTTGAATGACATGCCACTTAACATATCTGAAGGGAGACTGGAATACAACACATATATATATCAAAACAAAAAGCTAACATCTAATTTAAATTATACATTTCAAACACAGGCGAGAAATTTCGAGGGTTATTAGTAAGTGTCAGTCTGTTAAAATATAGTACAACTTGGACGAAAAGCGAGAACGCTCAAATAATGTGATGGGGACATTTCCCTTCCAGGAGAAAACAAGTACCCTCTTTTCGGTGTTGTACCCTTACCGTTATATCACGTTAATCACGAGAGGAACGACACCTTTCAGGTGGGTCAGGAGCGAGACAACGTGAACAAAGATGAAACAGTGTAACCGAAAACAGAAAGTACGATTTGTATTGTTAAATACTTACTTGTAAGAGTGTACTTACATATTTAGGTTATTTATATTGAATTTATATTACTGGAATTATTTTTATTTCACTTGTATTGTGGTGTTTAGTAAATATTTTACGATATTGTGTTTTTTTATTGTATTCGTCGTCTAAAATTTATTTTATTGTATCCCCCAGGCGAAGAGAGAAGGAAGAGGAGATCAGATGTTTTATACGTCCATGAAATTTCACTTTATGTTTGCCTTTACTTTTCCGGAATACCCATCCATCGGTTAGCAACGGCTCCATGGAAAGAAGTCAGAAAAAAAATGTCGAAGGAGTGGTACAACAGACAGAAAGGAGTGAACAAGACAGGAAAGACATGTGAAGAGAACAGAGTGATCTCGGAAGTAAGAGAGAAAGTAGTATGCGACCATGAACCAAGGTAGAACCGTGAACGGACAGGAAGTGGCCAGAAGGAGGGGTGAAGGTTGAAGGACTGTTTTGACTTCTCCCGGGACCAGACATCTCAACAATATGCACTGTATATTATTTATTTACCCTCGAGGAGAAATACTACATCATCATTATTTGTATTGTGGTTTACAATCTACACATAAATTGTCAAATAAATGGATTATGTCTGACTAGTGAGTTGCGAAGTTGTAGGATTTATCTTGATTTCGTCAAAAAAACAGATATATCTAGTCAACGATACACCCTTTTANAAGACACAAAAAGAAATTTCTCAAAGAGCAAGCTGTTCACAGAGTGCAGTTCCTGCCACATTTCCCCCTTCCAACAGACTTTTTGTGGATGTGCTTTGAAACTGCACTCTGTGAACAGCTTGCTCTTTGAGAAATTTCTTTTTGTGTCTTACCCTCATGATGGAGGGTGTCAATGACGGTCCTCTGGACAGCAGTCAGATCAGCAGTCTTCCCCATACTTGTGATTTAGTTTACTGAACCAAGCTGAGTGTTTTTCAAGGCTCAGGAAACCCTTGCAGGTGTTTCGAGTTAATTAGACGATTCAAGTGATTCGTTGAACACCCTACTAGTATACTTTTTCATGATATTCTAATATTTAGAGATAGGATATTTGAGTTTTCTTAAGCTGTATGCCATAATCAGCAATATTAAAATAATAAAAGGCTTGCAATATTTCAGTTGATTTGTAATGAATCCAGAATGTATGACATTTTTGTTTTTTTAATTGCATTACAGAAAATAAAGAACTTTATCACAATATTCTAATTTTCTGAGACAGTCCTGTAGTATAGGTCTCAGATACATAAAAAACATGTCTATGAAGTGTTTTGCTCAAAATACCAAACAGATCACCCATTCTAGTCATACTAGTCATACACTATTTCAGCCCTGTGGGGCTGATTCTGGGTCCGTCGCTTCAGAAAGAAGAAAAAAAGAAAGCGAGAGCCGAGGAGAGAGCTCATGCAGGAGAATTCTACACAGATATTCAGCTAAACGCAAGGATTATTTCTGAAACAGTATGGAGCTCAAATGCTTTTTCCCTTGCCAGTTTACTACAAGGTGAGTACCTTTTTATATCCTGCCTATTTACACATAGCTCTGAGTGTTAGCGATGCTTGCTAATGTAAACAAAGACCATATTACTTCCAAAACATTACGCATTGTTTCTGATCCAGCAACGTTTCTGATAGGGCCTTGGGCGTAAAGCCAGCCCACATTTCCGATATTACGTCATATCGGCATGCTAATTTGTATCAGCTCCGTTGTACCCGTTTTTTTTAATTGTGGGTAAGGAGGAAAAGAGAGAGGGTTGTATTTCCGGACACTTTGGGAGTCTACTGACACACCGGGGACACATATTTATGTAGAAAAAGACATCAAAAAGTACATTTTGCATGATAGGAGACCTTTAAGAGATCATATGTACTAGTGTTGATCAAAAAGAAGACGCAGTTGTTTTCTTACCTTTCGTTGCGGGCCAGTTGGCTAAAACAGCAAAGAGGAAGACACAAATAGAGAAGATGAGTTAGAAAGAATAGGCGCAGGATGAGACACAAAGTGAGAGGGAAAATAAACAGTGTTTAATGACAGTGACAGAGTGCGTCTGGCTGTCAGAGTCAGAGCTGTTTGTTTGTCACAGCCACTGGCAGTCTGCTGCGGAACACCTGCCAAGCTGCCATCACTCTGCAGCACCGAGACCCATAGACACCTGACTCGTGACTCATTAAAAACACGCACACAAACCAACAAAATACACTTCTGATTGTGTCTACACATACACCATGAAGGACCCACTTATCCATCACTACAAACTTTACGTGATGCCCCTCTGCTTTTCCATCCAATATGGCATTTAATTTTCCTCCCTGATTCCATCTGTGATAACAGAGAGGCTCAATTTTGTTCTATCGCAAACAAGCTCTTGGGAACATGCAGTTGAATCAGCAGTGACACAATCCAATTGGATGGTTCTGCTCCAAATGTGACTGATCTGAGGATTAGTCATGGGAATAAGACGTGTTTGTTTTCTCATCTGGTTCATATCTGATATGCATTACCAATCGCCTTACTGCTGCTGATGCTACGTTGTTGTATTAAGGTCCTGCAAGGCTTAAGAGGAAATAAGCTAAGATTTAAAGCAAGGTTTTAAAATCGATGCCTGGGGTGTCAAGGAGAAAAGTGTTGGCACACCCTCAGAATAATGCCTCTTTAATGGTGCAGCTAAACGATAAGCCACACCCTTGAGTTGGATCCTTGATTTTATTTTTAGCATTTATTCTTGACGTCAATACCAACTATTTGTGTGTGGTTCTCCCATGTTTACATGAAAAAATGATTTCACAAACAGCAGGGCAATACAGCTTGTGTGAATATGAAATACACCCAGAGGAGCTCTTTAAAAGTGCAGTCACAGCATCTGTCTCCACACAGGCAGCTAAAAAGGTCTCAACAAATTCAGATGAGTCATGCAGGCTCTTGCGAGGCTTCCCCTCTCCGTCCTCCAGCTTATGCTGCAATATGCCGTGCTTCACTGCAACATCAAATGCTAATTCATAATACATGACATTCCAGATGAGCAGCATATACATTTAGAGCACCTTCAATGACACTGAAGCAGCCACCATGTTCCGCAACTGGACGAGGGAGCAGCTACTTTTCCTCTAAATCCCAGTGAGTCTATGTGCAGTTGCAAGAAGCATGATAAGAGAACAAGCTTTGCAAATGTCCCCCATAATCACAGAAGCCGTGAATAATGAGCGTGTGCAGCGACTTGCTGCCTTAATTGGCTAGACAAACGCCGGGGTCCAGCGAGTGGCCCTAGGGCCTTTCAGCTGGTTGGAGTTACTTCTCCATTGCCTAATTTCCACTGCAGGGTCCAAAGGGAACAAGCCGAGGCATGTTCAGTATTCACGCAACTAAGGTTCCTCCCAAAGTTTCAAATGTCATTTTTATGTTTTTTATTGTACTGCCTTAAATGAGTGACAGTGTTTACTTTATGCATTAACCTAGATAGAAAATAGCAGCATTTATGTCTTTTGTTTTCATCTTTCTATAGTTGTGTGACCTCTACTGGAAGATGAACCTCCTCTTATGGTAAAATATGCACTTAATCTAGCCATCTGAACTGCATTTTATCATTCTTAGTAATGCTCCAGTTTTCGTATTGGATAGGGAAAATATTTCTGTGGTTATGTGGCTGAGCTCAACTGCCTTACAAGTCCATATTAACAAGCGTTTGAGTTAATCCTTACCTGCGGGCAAACTGGAAATTGGCAGAGGTGCTGGCAGAGACATTTCTGGGGCTTTCTGAAGGGCTGCTGCCAGCTGAGGAAACACAGTTACAAACAGTGAGAATGATTACAAGCTTAAATAAACTATATATATGATTATGTTAAATCATTACCCCAGCTATCTTTTGTTTTACATTGCAAAATATGCTCAATGATTATTTTGCACATGACTTTACTTCAGAGTTCAACCCAAAGCAAATCTTACATTAACAGTACCACCCCATAGAGGGCCTCTTCCCTTCCTAATCACAGAATATCAGCAGAGAGCAGGGAGTTTTGTTGTTGATCACACAACACTAGATACTATTGAAAGGGTCACTAAAGGGTTTTCATGTCAGCCAAGCACTGCCACACCCCGAGTCACTTAAAAAAAAAAAATGGGTGCAGCAAATGAATGAGTCCCCATATAGCACTGCAAGCAGCTGAAGACGGAAAGAGTAGCCTAAAGGAAGCTTCATGAACAACATCGGCATGAGGAAAACTATTGTATGTCGTGCGAACATTTGGCTTACTGCCTTAATTGAAACTTGATAAACAAACCACAGGGAAACTAGTGCTTGTCTTGTGACATGCATCAACAAACTAAATAAGGCTTAAGGCGCATATACTCAACAAAACAGCTAATGTGGTGGTCTTCTCATTCTATCTTCATCCTCTTGTGTCTACGTAAAGCATGTGTAAAGAGTCTGAAACAATAGCACACACACACAGCTGAGCAGACACGCAAGTATCATTAACACACAAGTACCTGTGGCAAGTGGGAGAGGTGAAAGGGGTCGTGAGAGCGTGGGCGACGGGGTCCCGACTGCCAAACTCCTTCTTTTGTTGTTACGAGAACTGTGAGAGGAGGAAAACAAACAGCAGAGAGAAAAAGCTTGTTACGCAAGACAATTACAAACACAATCGCCAAGCAACAGTCTTTTATCAGTACAGTAAACAGTCTGGAGAAATAAAACAGGCGATCTATGAACTTAAGTTGTTGATCCTGATACAGAAAACACTGATAATTGCAATGATGTCATGATACTGGTGTTTATACATACACACATAGCTACAAACATGTATGCATGTAAATATATAAAAAAACAGAAAGTATGCACTGTTACATTTGGCTAAGGTGTCAACACGTATTTAATAGGCTGCATTTTGTTTGTCTTATATGAAAGAAAAAGTGTTTCTGGCTACAGGAGTTACTAAAAAGGAAATAATCGACTTCCAGGGAATAACAAGGAGTAGTTGGTAGGGTGCTACACTAAAGTATTAAAGAAGATAAGATGATGTGTACTGTGTCTGGAAGTATGTAGGAATATAAGAAACATCTGAAAGAGTAATGGTTGTACCAGTGGTCTTGTACAAAAACGTAAAGAAATAAATGGACCCGATGACTTCCATGACATAACTGTACAGGCCATAACATACTTTCCACACCATTAAAGATTCATCACCACGGATGAATACAGTCTGTATCCATACGTAAACAATCTATATATAGATCAGTTTGAGTGTGTGATTAAATCAATTATCAAATTGTTTTCCATTGCACAGTCAGAGGTTGAACACTTGATGCATCTATGGATTCTAAGTATGGGTAACATACATAATCCAAAATAACTACACTGTTTACCACATACCTTTATATCGATATTGCAAAGTTATTGTAGGGTTGATTATGGTGCTTTCATTAAATATTTACCCAATGAGACTTATCTAAGACAATATCGACACAACATCCATTTATTGCCACGTTTTATTATCATGCTGCTGTTATGTTTATGGTCATTGCTTGTGTTGTTTTGATGAAAGTTGGTTTTGTTCTTTCTAGCTGTTTAGCTTCAACTTGAAACATGTGCTCATCTTGTTAGAAAATGGTTGTTTAATTTCTGTATATTTTCTTAAAATACACAACAGTGCTACTTTGCAGCTTTTCTTACAAATAAACAATAATATGCAATATAACAAAACCATTCAAATATGTCAATCACTTCTTCCATCAAGGAAACATATTTTATTTTAAATGAAAATCCCGTAAAGACATGACTGGCAGACCAGTTTAAAATCTGGCATGCTTGACAATGTGCGATGACTCAACCAGAAATATGTTGGTGACAATATGATGCAACTACTTCAATGTTTTGATTTGTCCACTTCTTGTTCCTGCTTGTGCATATGTTTCCTGGAGGCCTCTCACCCATTGTCTGCCAGGGTCTTCATACAGAAGAGAATCCCTAATAAACTAGATATAATCCCATCATGCTCTCTGTTTCATCCCAACGATGTCAAAGCCTCAAATCTCTTTCTCTCTCGCAATGACCTAAAATAATTGAGGGTCTGAGATGATTACATATCCTGACGTTTCTGGGTCGGTGCTGAGGCAGACTCACACGGCCCCCAACCCAAAAAATAGTCAAAGTGGCAGCCGCGGCACAGCAACAGAGGAAGGGGAGAGCCAATAAATGCTTGAGTTTGGCTTCAACAACGCACCAACCAACCAGAGGACGACACTGTGAGTGTGCACCATTTTCTTCTTATCAGAAAGTAAATAAACAGACACCTTTTTCGCACTACAGAGACTAGGTCAACATAGGCATGAAAGCATCACTGTATTACCGTGAGCACAAGAGAGCTTCATCAACACTTCGCAGTGATTGGGCTACTCAAATGTAGGCCTAACAATACTGGTTTGGCCAGTGAAGGCAGCCATGTAGCATGGTGAATGTAGGCCACTGACTGAGATGCAGGCCTGTATGTTTCCCATGTCTGCTGATGGTGAAGGGCTGCATTTATTCAGAGAGCTGACTGAATGTCACGCTGTGTTTAATGGGTTACATGGCTGATGCATGTTCCCAAGCTTTATGGGGTGGATGGTTTGACACGCCACTGAGTCATTAGCATAATAAATAACATATATTTAAATATGAGAGGTTTCTCCCAAAACTCATTATCAATGGGATTGCAGGGTATGGTATTGACAGCAGCTAAGACATACTGAGCTAGAATTAAACAGATTTACTAGTGAAATATACTACAATGGGGGGAAATCCATCAATTATTATGTGGTCCCTAAGAATTCACTGAAAGCCCAAAACACCCTTAGTCATTAGAGGGCATGACAGGCACATTTTACTGCTCTACTTTTTGAGGGCTGCTTACATGTATATCACAGATAAGGCACAACTACATCAATAGAGCCCCGCTAACCACATCAGTGTATCGATCCGCATTTGGAATGTGTCGCTTTATGCGACAGCTGGTGGGAGACAATGCAGTCTGCCTCCATACACAACACTCTACAATGGCCACGTTTCTGTCGGAAACAAAAACTAGGGCGGATGTAGCCGACACATACAGTACCGTACTGTGGGATATCACACACACCACAGAGGTATTTTCAATGTGAGCTGCTCGCTGGTAATGTTTCCATACAGTGTGGGGGTTGCATTTACGTGCTGTGAATCAAATAGCTCACCATAAACGTTCAACACATTGCTGTTTGCCAGACAGAGGATGGCACCGCTCAGCAGGGAGCTAATGACAACTCAAGGCAGGGCAGACGCCTTTGCTTTGCGGCACTGTATCGATACATATTTAGAATCAACACATAATTTCTTTACCTTTTTGATCTTTTCATCATGGCCCCAGTCACAAAACTAGTTTTGTAGCTCGGTAACACGGTCCAATAGTAGTTTTGGTCAGACATGGTGACAGATCAATCCAATCCAGATATGAGAATTGTCCTCTTGTTAGAGTGTGAGCATCATGCTAGACAGTCTTATTGAGGAGTTGTTATTATAGGTGGTGGACTGGTTAGGCTAGTACGCAGTGTCCAGCGGCAGGAACTCCGGCTAGCTTCGGTACAAACTGACCCCGGACCCCGGGTGCGCCGGCTCGGTGATGAGGAGCGACTAAACCAGCCATGTCCCCTTCCCCCTGTCACCAGCTTACGGTCGGAAACAGCTTGTCTTCCGTGAGATGTGACATTATCGAGTGATATCTTCGTCAAGATGTAAAGAGTGATACAAAGTTTCCAGCAGCACCAGCAACGCCGCACCGCGCAGCCGCACCAGCTCAGCGAAGAGAGGAGGGACTAATGATGCCTTCAAGCAATGTCGGAAATCTGCTGTTAACGTCTAGAAGACATATGACCCAACCAGCGAAAAACAGAAAGAAGGGTGAGCAACTTAGTATTTCCTTTGATATCGGCATCGAGACACCGGCTTGTATACCATCATTTGAATAAAGTCGAACAAATATCTAAATCTAAAACGCGCACACCAGTTTCATCTAGCCTACAATATTCAGGGAGACGAGCAGACATGAATGCTGCATTTTTTTGTCGTCAGGGAATAAGGAGATCCTCATAAGATTTAATGGAAGGGCTCTGCTGCATATGTTGCTAATACAGACATATTTTTCTTATAATGTGAAAACCAAGCCTTTTCTTCGTGAAAAAAACTAACATCATCTATCTTCTCAAGGCACAGTGGCAGCAGGCTAATCAAGGTGGTCCAGACAGCCCTCCCACTAACAATGTTTTCCAGCTCCTCCTGTGGGACCCTGAGGCGTTCCCAAGCCAGATGAGATATATAATCTCTCCAGCTTCTGTGTCTCCAACCAGTTGGATGTGCCTGGAAAACCTCCAATGGAATGCACCAGTAAATGTACTTATCAGATGCCCTGACCTCCTCAACTGGCTACTTGTGATGCAAGGAGGCATTAGCTCCACTCAAGGTCAGGCCACCATCATCTGCCCACCATCATCTGCAAAAAGCAAAGAACCATTTCCAAAGTCCCGAAACCGGACCCTCTCCTCCATCTTGCTGCACCTTGAGAACCATTCAATTAAAACAGGATTGGTGACAAGCAACAACACTGAGGCCAACAAGCATTGAAGCTATTCACAGCCAACAAACATTGAAGTTATTCTCATCCTTCTGAGACACATCTGGTACCCTAAACTTCCGCAATACCCCCCACAGAACAAACCCCAGCTACCACAATTGTCTAATTCAACCTAAGTCACCAAAACATGTGTGGGTAAACTGCCATGACCCCTTTAATAACACTGTAAGGGTTAGAGCGCTGGTCTACCTTTATACAACCAAGAAACAATACTAACAGCTCGTCCTGGATCTGAGGTTGTTGATCGGCCATAGCCTCTTTTCCTTTCCTCTTGTCATTCGATTATTTGCATATTTGTTTGGGAATTACCATTTCCAAACAAATATGCATGGAAATGCATATTTTGACTCCAGCGCTGTGCGTTTGAGTCAAAACATGCTGCATAATCATTTCTTACATTAAATGAATTCAAAGGATTGTCAAAAGGGGCCCACAGATCATTAAGCCCCCAAGCAAGTTTAATCCAGTTAAAAATACACCATTTTAGCCAATGATAAGATCAATTCCATTTTCCACAGACTCACATCGAGTCTCGGCTGAAATAAACAGTGCACCTTTATCAATAACATATGTGTTGCCATAAAGTGAGCTGTTTTAAAATCATAGTCATACAGGGTGCAACAGAGAAATACTGTCCGACCTAAAATTCCACCTAAAAGGAAACATGACGGACAAAGGAAAAGCTGTTTGCAAGGGGCACAAACAAATAAATTGATGTGATCTGCTGTATGAGTGACTCAAAGACAGGGAAACTAGCCTGAGGTAATCTCTTCACTTAAGACCAGGGGAAGTCCCTGAACAGGTTAGAGACATGGAAGAGATTGATGTTGATCTGACTGAGGCGCCTCCTATTTTAGCTGGAAACACAGAAGCAGGTTCCTTCATGCTGCTCATAAGTGTCCCTCCTCTGTTGAGCCTACAGCTTGATAAGAACTGTTAGTGTATATTTCCAATTAATCCCCAAGTAAGTACCTCAGGAAAAACCTTTAGAAACAACAAACATTGATTAACATGTTAGAGCTGGCTCAGCTTGTCTGGTAGGTTCACATATTTCGATTAAGCAATCATACACGAGAGGCCGGCAGGACCGAGGCGCTTGTTACTGTCGTACCAATAATGACGTTCAAGAACGGCCTCAAGTGTATGATTGCGATTCTATTACACAAACTATCATTGTAATCAACAATATCGTAAAATAATTTCATAATGTGGGCTAATTTGCTCCCAAACCTACGCTTTCTGCTTGAGTTAATCTCCGTCAGAAAGTAGTTCCTAGAAAGTAGTTCCCATGGTAACGATTGACAGCCCAGGTAGTTGACGCCAATGTACTCTTTTCGTTGCGATTTTTTTCCAACGCACTCAACTCGTCAGTTGAAACAGCCGCAAATCTTTCGTTGGTTTTGTGGTCTGTGTCCATGTCCAACCATTCATCAATACTGAAGCCCCCCAACAAATCAAAATTAACTTTAAAATCTGACATTTTGTAGCTACCAATTTCCAACGAGAGACAATGTATAACAGTGTAACGGCTGTGTGTCGCTAAACGTCGCTATGGAAACCACACGATGTAGGCTCATGGAAGTAGTTTCGGTAGGCTAGTGGCGTGTGTAGGCCACTGGATACTTTGTGATTAGGCACGTTCTATTTGATCGTTGTTTGATTGTGGAATCAAACACGCCTATTGACCAATCAGAGAGCTTGCTCAAACCTATGTGTTATAGAATATATAATGACATTATTTTGATCTACATTTCTGTAGCATCTACAATTCATT